GCGTAACGAGGCGGCGGGGGTATCGGAATGTGCGAGTTCAAGATGGGACACCTAATTTAAGATCGCTTTGAAAGGAATCAGACGTCCGTCCAACACGAGTTGCTTTCGTATCGTGAGCGATTGCACTGTAGCGTCATCGAGGCTTGAGGGGGTCCCCGGTGCCCCCCAGTTTTGACTGTAACCCCTCTCACACGCCCCTCGATCCCTGGCGGGGCACGGTGATCTTCCTGGAGCCCCGGTCAACCGCAATACGCTGAAGTCAGGAAGTCGTTCGAGGACGTGCACTCGAAGACTCACAGCCGTGAGGCTCTGTAAGAACACTTCTGACCTTACTTAGTCAAAATTAAAGTGACAGAACTTTCTTTTGCTAATGAATCGTCGTTCTTTTTTAAAGCTTTAGATCGTGCGCTCGGTCTCTTTGTTGTGGCACAGCGTGCAGGGACCAGCACAGGTGGGGACTCATGTCACACAGGGGAGCTACACTCTCTGCCAGCCGCTTTCAAACGGGTTTGCTTGAGCTCAGAGGAGAAGAAGGCAGTAGCTCACATCTTTCGTTCTGTTTAGGCCGAGATGAACTTCTTTGCCTTGACAGAACTGCTGCTCAGCAGGCGTCGCGAGGGGTTCCTGTTCGGCTGCAGGGAAGAGTTTGTCAACAATCCCCTGTGAGTCCCTGTTGAACTGTTCTCCACTGGGAGGTGTACTGAGGGTGACGTCCCCAGTATTTGCGGTCAGTTTGGACAGGTCTTTATTACTTTGTGTAACTGGGAGAACAAACACTGGCCATCACATGTATCACTCCCTGCACTCTGCTTGATGATGAGGGCATTTGTATTTTCTGGTGCTTTTTTTCCCCCTTGGTTTCCTTGTGCCTGGTTCGGGTCTGCTCATTTAATCTCATTCCTGCCCAGCTCGTAGCATGGAGCCTGCACTGGCTGTCGGTTTCAGAGTTCAAGCCCAAACAGCAGTAGTTGTCCAATAGGAAAAAAAAATATTCAGATTGAAGGACACTTGTACAGAAGTCTTCTTGTTTTTAATTTGCCCCAGTATTCTGTAAAGGCCGTTCTGAAAAGCACCCGCAGTCATCAAGAGGTTTGGCGCAACAGCGCCTCCATGCGGACACACGGAGGAACTGCGCCGACATCCTTTCCACCCACCCCCGTCCCCCGGCCTGTGTGCAGGAGGTATCGCCCTCTGCTGACCGAATCCTTGTATTACAGCCCCAGCTCTTTCCTCTGTGAATCGTCAGTGCGCCAATGTTTTTTTTTACGGTGGGGTAACGCTAAAACGTGTCCTGAATATTACTTGGGATATTTAACCTAACTGATTGGGAGCTCCCAGTACCTGGAAAGAGCTTTGAGTGGAGTATCCAGAAAAGCGCTATATAAGTGTATGGTATTGATAATATTAATTTAGAGATCGTTGGACACATCAATGAGAAGTCAGTTCAACTCTTAAGAACTAGAGCTCTATTAAATGAATGTTTCCAGTTTTAAAAACAGAGGCTGCTCGGGGTGACTCGGATGCTGGTATTCTCTGGACCAGGGCTGCAGAACTGTTAAATTACCAAACACACCAGTTTATAACACTCCAGTCAATGCATTTTTTTCTACTTTATTTTTTTAATATCATTTCTGCTTGACATGTTATAGCCAATCATACATTAAAGTCAGTCCAGTCATCCCAGTGAAGAACAATCCAGCTCCCAGTCCAGTCCAGCCTGCAGTGTCTCAGACTGCTCTGTCAGTGTTGGTGAGTCTGATTATAATCCCAGT